ACCATCTGCACCAGTCATCACCACAGCTCGACACACCAACACATGCACCCACAACACGACACGCCGCCGCGCGCTGGCGCAGGTGAGTGCAAGGACATGGTAAATGACCAAGCCATCAAACAGCCAGTCATCTCGCTAGATTTAGTATTTTGTGACAGGTAGGAGGCACTAGCGTAGTTTGTTTCGCACACGCTCAGGGGGGCGCTAGCAGTACAGACCTTGAGGAGTTCGGTCCTCCGCCACTCATCGCCACAGGCCTGCAGCTGAGTAACGTAGAGTAAGGCGTTCGCGTAGATTCGTGTTGTGCCAGTAAGGCAGGTCTAAGCGTAGTTTGTGACATTAGGGGGCGCTAGCAGTAGCAACGCTTGAGGACTTCGCCTCTCCGCAGCTCATGCGCACAGGCCTGCAGTGAGTAACGTGTAGCGTGCCGCTAGAGATTAGTTTGTGGACAGTAGGGGTGCTAGCGGTAGTTTGTGACATTAGAGGGCGCTAGCAGTACAGGACATGTTGAAAGACTCTGCTGCACGCGAGCTCAATGCGTTACAGGCCTGCAGTGAGTAACGTAGTAGCGTTCGGCTAGATCATCGGCGAGCGAACTGAAAAGAGTAGGATGAGGGAGTTTGAGGATGGAGGAGGGGGAGGGGAGAGGAGAGAGAGGGCATGTGTCAGTGGTGTCTGTGTCGTCTGTGTGTGTGTGTTTCGTGTGTGTTTGTGTGGCGCGGTGTGCACCGTGTGCGTGTGTGCACGTGGTGGCGTGCGTGTGCGTGTGTGTGCGTGTGCATGTTGTGTCTTAGAGATGAGAATGTCCCCGAGTAGCTAGATCTGGCAAACCGTTCTGCGGATGTGACAGGTCCAGGAGTCATTTTGTGAAATGTAGAAATCGCGTTGAGCAAAATTTTAGGTGGTGGTTAGAATGTGCAAATCTTCAATTTACCGCCGCAAGCAGTAACCTTTATGTTAATAAAAGTTGTCATCTATCCAGAACACTGTGTGGCCTTGTTTCCATTATCCGGCCCCCGTCGGCAGCACTCGCTTCCGAGTGAGTCACGTGGTTGCGCGTCTGCTGTTGTGCGTCAGGTCAGTAGAGTAATAACACGAAAGTGAAAACTGCGCTATATGAAACGTAGTACATTAGTTAGAAGGGCGAGCATAATTCTGTAAAAGCCTGGGCGCACACCGGCGAGCCTCTGCTCCAGTGATTGGTCGCACACACGGCAAGCCCGAGACGCTCTCTCAGCGACGTTTCTCAGTTCAGTTTGACCTTTCTGCTTACAACTAGGGCAGTACAAGCCAATACACAATACACAGTGGTAGCTGTGCTAAGCGTGGGGTTCTATAGAAGCAATAGATGACTCACAATGATACAAGTTGTGATCAGTGACACAATCGAGACTTACTCGTATCAACACGTGCTGTGAAAGAGAATAATCTATGACCAATAGCGTAGTTTTAAAGATACAGGCTCGAGACGTAAGAAAATTTAGAGCCTTCTTACTGTTCAATGCTGGAGGCCGTTGAAGCTTATAATTATGATGAATTGGGTCCTCTCAGGGCGTTAACACAGGGGCTTGGCCGCCCCCTCCGCAGGTGTCATTCCACCACCCACGCGGCCCCGCGCGCGCTCAAACACACACGCACAACCGGAGGGCGGGAGTACAACCTCATGCGCATAGAGCAGCCCCACTGAGACGCCTCCCGGTGTTCATCTATTCTTGCGTCCCAGCTTTTGCAATCCAAACCATTCAGCACTCTACACATGCGCACTGTACACAGAACACGCTAACTTGGCACCTACCTGATCGTGGCGGTACGCAGTCGAGCGCATAGACTCGGATCACTACTAGAACATCACGTACACGTGTCGCGCGAGCATGCTCAAGCAGACACCTACAGTGACACACCAGCGTAGGTTAGCTACGCCAGGCACACCATAACACGCGCTATATGACATCATGGTCATACGATGCCGCGCTAGAGCGTGCGATGAAGCAGCCCTTACACACGCTAGACACACGACATCAGCTTTGTCGGTGACTGGTTTGCACAGGGTAAAGCAGCTATGACACACTCCGATCCAACCGGCACAGCACATCCAAGCCACAAGCCATCAGAGCTTCAGGGATGCAGGTAAGGGAGAGAGAATGTGATCGAGCAGACCACACACAGCACACATCAGATCAAAGCACACACACACAGCAGCACACCACACCACATAGCAAACGGCGCGCGCGCACACACACACTACAGTCACACAACACACAGCGAGCCACAACCTCGACACAGCACGGCGCGCAGCTAACACATCACAGCAGCACACACCGACTATACAGGGGTACCGCATACACCAGCATACACTACGCTGCGGCGTGTGTGGTGGCTGGTCATGTAAACACATCCCTCAGCAGCATACCGCATATGAAGGCATGCACAAACACAGTAACTACACGAGGACACCGCATAGAACACACGCATGAGACACACCACACATACACTACACGCGCACTCACACACGGCGCGCGCACCGACACACACGACAGCACACACCCACACACAGCACACCACACACACAGCACGACGAAACACACAGCACAGCACAACACACACACACACACATACACACACGACACACAGCACATACACAACACACACACGACACACACACACACACACACAACACACACACAAACAAACACCGACAGCACAGCCCATCCACGAACTACACACCCCGGGGCGCACACACACGGCGTGTCCACACACACAGACAGCACGCGTGTGCATACCAACCGGCCTAACTAGAAAAAGAATAAGAATGGCTTGTTAAGAGTATTATTAGAGGTCAGTCCGAACGTTGTACGTTTTACGTTTACGGTTGAAAATCTTACCTGCGACATCAGGAGTTTCTTGACAGCGGGCGACTTTCTTGCGGGTGGTATCTTGTCGATGCTTAATATCTCGACGTGTCAGTGATGCCTTTCTTTTTGGTGGCATTAGCTGGGCACTTGTTATGACCAATTTTTCGCCGTGTGGAGCGCCTTTGGTTATACATTGTTTTTTTACATTGCCATTGTGTTTTCGTGTTGTGACGTTGCAACGCACTTGGTGCAAAAATTTCCCACTTCTTTAATGTTTTTGAACGTGGAATGTAAAAAAAATAAAAGTGTGCAAAAAATAGCCCATGCAACGTGGACAAGTTTGGAGAGGATCCGTTGAGCGGTGCGGAAACGTATAGCCGGACACACACACACACACACACACACACACACACACACACACACACACAGAAATTCCCAAATTCATAGTAAGATTATTACGAGAGTTTTCCAGTGTTTTCACCACTTTCATGATACCTACCGGCTACCGTTATTGCTTGAGTAACAGCAATTGTCTAGACTCTAGAGTAACAATATAATGTCTAGAACCTTCGTATTCACCAAAACATGCAATTTTCGAACTAATAGTTTGGTAAACAATCGTTTGCTGTAATCTCGAAACTAGAGCCGGTATAGTATGGATCAGCTAGTAGCGCTGCCGCCTATCTGCAATAGACATAGTACAGTACGGGTATCTCTCAAATGCACTTGTTTTCAATTAATCACCGACAATTTACAAGTTTACCAATTCTGCCATTATCGCGATACGATAAAATGCATTGTTGTTACGATGGGTTCATATCCAATTTTCTTTGCTATAACTGCATAACATCTGAGTGTTTTTAACGTTGGTGTAATCAGTGATATTTCCGCTGTCAGATGAGACTATATTCAGATATATTTAGTTTTTCTGAGCAAAAATTGCGTAATAATCAGTTACGCATACGACATTTTTAAACTGTCCTGAATACGCTTTCCTCTTCATTTAATCGGCATATCGCTTTGCATGCACTGAAATATAAATTTTAGCGTTGTGGACGGAAATGCGTACAGATCAACACGGTTTTATGCAATCGCGCTAAACTTTTTTGTAAATATTGCTCGTTTGGAAGAGATGACGATGATCATGGCCTGCTGTTATTTTTTTCAGAAAACACAGTATGAGTATAATCTCACAGGAATGAAGACAGATTGCAAGTACAAAATACAGGTGTCGCTCTTTCTTGTTATTTCATTTTCCTAACTTTTCTCCGCCAATTGATCCACTCTTCAATGTAATTATAAATAAGTTTATCGCGTGCGGCCGTTTCGATAAGAAACGCATCATAGTTGGATAATGGGTTATGGGACAAAAATTGTCGCACAGAATCGTTCATATGTTTCCTTCAACCAATTAGAGGGCACCGAAATATAGCTACGCGCTGCAACACATCACCAACGACCTTTAAAAAGGCTATCGTTTGCAGACTATGAATACACACACACACACACACACACACACACACACACACACACTATATGTATCAAGAGTACATAATAGAGACTCTATTATGTACTAGCGCGATACCCGGCGTTGCCCGGGGAAATCAATGGCGTTACTCAGTTGGTGACCGCTTGGTTAAAAGGAAAATACCCCAAAAAATCCAACTATCTATCTATCCATGCATCCATCCATGCATCCATCCATCCATCCCATTCTATGCTATCCCATCCCATCCAATCGCACCGCATCCCATCCTATCCCATGTCCCATCCCATCCTATGCCAAGCCATGCCATGCCATCCTATGCCATGCCATCCCATCCCATCCCATCGCATGTCATCGCATGCCATCGCATGCCATCCCATCGCATGCCATCCCATCCCAAACATTAAAAAACAATAAAAAATCAAAAGATAAAAGACATTAAAAATAAAAAATAAAAAATAAAAAGTAAGAAATAAAAAATAATACATGCTAAAGAGGGAGGTAGAGGAAAACAAATTAAAAAAAGGGGAAATCCCGGTGTATGAGACGGATGTTCTAGCGATTATGCCACTGCGCCGTTAAGAGGGTATACACAATGGATTCACACGTACGTGATGTTTTAATCTGTACTCACCGCCATCTATTGACGAATAGAATTTTTATCCATTTTTAACTTTTTATCTTTTTAAAATTTTTGTTTCAGCCAGAACCACCTCTCAGACGTGCTGATTCTGAAAATATCTTTAGTTTTCCTCTAGGCTGCGGAGTTCTCTAGTTATGCGAGTACGAACTAATTTGGCTGAACAACTTTATATAATATAGACTCTTGATATATGTATATATATATATATATCTCCCCTTATATATATATATATATAAAATTTCACATCATTACATTCACAAATGACATTACATTTCATATAAACGACTGTGTATCTTGTTGTCAGGTAATCAAATATACTAACTAACGATATCAAGACACGAAACGCTGGATACAATCAGAATAAATATATTGCCTAATGCAAATCTATTGTCTAATGCAATAAATCTATTGCCGGATAAGCGATACCGCCACCTAGCGTTGGATACGTTATCCTGTTGGAAATAGAATTATTCATTGTGGGAGTAGCACTGATATCAGTCATTATATTTAATTATGAATGTTTTGTTAACAATAATGCTTAGCAAGATTCAATAAAAGTTAAAAATCTTCGCTTAGAATTAAATTAAATTAAATAAAAAAGAAGAAAGCATAGTTTGTTTTATTGAATTTTTTTTTATTCAATCATCAAATTTTGGACAGGTAAATGCAGCGCACAGGTACAGCCACAGTAATACTAATAAAATGCTATA